CACACTTAAGGAGGTGAATTGTCGCACTCAAGGGGTTAACCCGTCACACTCAGGGGTTAAGCTGTCACACTCAAGGAGTTAACCCGTCACATTCAAGAGGTTAACCCGTCACACTCAAGAGGTTAAGCTGTCACACTCAAGGGATTAACCCGTCACATTCAAGGGATTAACCTATTACTGTTAAAAGATTAATATGGTGTCATTCGTAAGTCAAACGGTTAACCTCTATCTCGAAGCGTCTCAAACAAGCTTAAATTAATGGAATCAACTTTAAAGGTCATAATGGCGTTAATTGTAATCGCAATTGACCTTAAAACGTAAAATAAATCTGTTGGTTAATTTAGGGACCATGTCCGGTGTAATTGCACATAAGGTAATTATTTTATTTAAGGTCATTATTATCTTTAGGGACCCATTACACTGCAGGAACCCAATAAACCTATTATATTTACGGAACCCATTACCTTTAAGGTTAGGTTAGGTTTGGGTGGAAGAGTTAGGGCCTTGTTAGAGGGTCGACCCCTAGGAAGCGACCAAACAGGGCTTTCACCTCATCTCGACGTTGAGTCAAGTCGTGCTAACTGTGGTGTGTTGAGAAATAAATTTAGTGTCCTCTTCACATACAAACACACACAATCATATACTGATGCTCACACACACACACACACACACACATACACACACACACACATACACACACACACACACATACACACACACACACACATACATGTTTTATCTAAGATCTTAAGTAATCAGATTTTGGTACACCGTCTGTTCAATGATCAATATTTTGGCGATTAAAATAATTTCCTGGAAAAGAATTTTGGTGACAAGTTTATTTCGTAATCAAGATTTTTGGTGATTATTGAAGTTAATGCTCAAGATTTTTGCTTAATGGTTAATTAATTAATAAGATTTTTAATCAGTTTATTAAATTACTAATAATTCTGGTGACCAGTTTATCGAATCATCAAAATATTAGGCGATCAGTTTGCTAAATGATCGAGACTTCTGGGAACAACTTAATTCTGTGATCAAGGTCTTACTGTCTCCTGATGATCAAAATTTACCCAACGATTCGAGAACAAATAATTAATTGTTCATATAACTTTAAGCTTAATTCTGGATGAGGAAGATTTTAGTGAACTGTTTAGTGTATGGTCAAGATTTTGGTCCGATGTTTGTCGAATAATTAAGGTTTGTGTTAAACGTTTACTGCATGATTAAAATTTCAGTAAACATTCTACTGGATGATTAATATAATATTCTTGGTGAACAGTTTACTTAATATTCAATATATTTTATGGCTTATCGGATTTTCGACTTATGAGAATCTTGCCACAGTCAACATACCTGTACTCCAAATCCTCAGAGTCATACTTTATTTTTTTCCATAGATAATTATTTGAAAATGGATTTATCTAGTTCAAAAATTACTCTAAAATCAATTTAAAGTTGCACAGAGTCTCATCCAAACCTTAATACTGTCTCCTTTACTCTAATTGTGGGGGAAAATTCACTCCAGGAACTAGGAAATATCATCACTGCTCTCCGTGGTCCGCGAGTGAAATTTCCCCACTAAGTAATGAAGTAAGTGGGGATCTAACTTACTATTTTTTGTCGATACGATACGAAAATGACGGCTAGAATGGCGTGCTTCTCCTGTATCTCAATTAACACGGATAAAAAATTCTAAGGAACGATTCTTTAGGAAACTGTGTGTGTATGTGTGTGTGTGTTTGTGTATGTGTGAGAGGGAGACTGTCGTGGATGATGCTATATAGTGAAGGTAGAGTTGTATCATTCAAACGCACAGTCGTACACACTACACAATCTCTCGTTCGCTGCTCGCCATTAATACTATCCCCCCCCTGAGGCTGACACACATGACCTTAGACTGCTTGTGTTTGATCGTCCAGACAGAAGACTCGAGAAGACTATGACATCATGGCCAAGCGATGTTATTATTGGTTTGTCGTTGGAGTCGTTTTTGTTATCGTTTTAATTACAATTTTTCATTTAATATAATAGTGTTTCTTTATGTACTTTGACTATAAGACTTTAGTTCAATTTATGCTAAAAAAAATACATATTTTTTAAATTTATATATCGTGTTTTTTATGATTTAGTTTTTTTTAAGTAGTTAGAAATTTCAGATTTATTTAGATTTTCATTTTGTTTTAGATTCATTGTGATTTGTTAATAGTTCAATATATTATCACACCCTTTTTCTTTAATCAAAAAATAATATGTTCAGGGAAATACAGTACCACGACCATTTAATTTTTTCTCATCTAATAATAATCTGTACATCACTAGAGACACACTATCATCGATTCTAATATACTCAGACACCAGAACCTAGTATAGGAACACGTTAACAATAACTAGTATTTTCTTACGATCTAAGTACAGCAAGCAGCAGGTTATTGAAGCCACTACGAACTGTACACAACAATGGGGAATCTTGTCCTCCGTGTGCTTGTCATTATCGTATGTGATCTGTTCCAATATGACCGATTAGTCTCCTTGTTTTCTTACTTTGTATTTAGTGTATTGTGTGTTTTGGGACTTCATGTTTACAACTATTCTTATTAGATCGTCCTCTGAGTTAGCGTTTCTCTCTCATCAAATTCTGTAAAGTGTTTTATATATCCAGTAAATATATAGATATTTCAAGAGATATTTCGCGTCATGACAACCTTAGGGCTGGTTGTTGACATCCTTGGTGTTATGTGTGTCGCAACCTCAACACACACGATCCGGTGATGCAAGCTAGCAACGGCCGTCATTTCCTCAAGTAAACAGTAAAATGACGGGTTATGTTAGTATGTTACTAAATACACCTTCACACCTCATCTAGTGCTGGTAAGATCTTGGGGGCTTTTAATTTCCTCACTGACAACATAGACGCTCTTCCAGTTTTTGTCCGACATTTAGGTATGATACAAAGGTTATCTAACACACTCCTCATATATCTCAAGAGGGAAAAAAATTTAAGATTAACTTTCTGCTGAATCTTATGACAGGTGAACGAGAGACAGTCACTGACCCGTTCATCTCCCTACAGTCAGTACAAGTCCAACCGGCCTGTACACTACACACCACCCGTCAAAAAAATTATTTGCAATACTTGACACAATGGCGGGAAAATCAGATACAGTGCTCTATGGTAACATATAGTATTTTCTAAAGCTAAAATTTACTTAAACAAACCTCTGCCTTTTGCAATGCTCGCCTCCAGAACGGTCAATGTAATTCAGTTTTCCTTTGTTTTTTTTTTTGTTTTTTTAATTTCTTTCAAAAACAAACTCGAGTACTTTGAATTATTATCATTTCTAAACTAGACACTATTTTTTATCTATGTTTATATTTATGAATAATATACATCGATTTATGTTATATTCTTTTTGTACTTATTGAACATTTTATCAGTGAAGGAAAGTACAGTACCACCGATGTGTACCACTGTGTAGCCTACCGCCATAACCACGTAACTTACAGCTATAACCACGTAACTTCCTACCATAGCCACGCAACTTACAGCCATAACCACGCAACTTACAGCCATAACCACGTAACTTACCACCATAACCACCCAGCTTACCATAATAACCACGTAACCTACTACCATAACCACATAACTTACTACCATAACCCTGTAACCTACTACAATAACCACGTAACCTAATAACATAACCACGTAACATACTACCATGACCACGTAACCTACTACCATGACCACGTAACCAGCAGTCCTAATCACGTAACCACACCAGGCAGCACCAGGGTGATGTCCTGAGGTTTCGCCCCGCATCACTAGACTCAACATACGTCACAACACACGTCACAACATACTTTACAACACCGTCACAACACACAACACAGCACATACCACAACACACACCCATAAACTAACCATACTAATGCAATACATCCCATTATAACATAACAACGTGGAATACAACACCTCAGCACATGTTTCAACTCGGTGACAACATTTCAACACTAAACCTTCACTACAACACTAATACCTTCACTACAATACTAATACCTTCACTACAACACTAATATCTTCCCTACAATACTAATACCTTCACTACAACACTAATATCTTCCCTACAACAGCACACCTCACAGCTCACCTTATCGTTGTTAAGGAAATGTCAACAGGTACCATTACAGCACACATTACAACACGGTGATAAATGACACAACACTAATCCACGCAACATACTGTAACATTAAACCTAAATTACAACATTTTCAACCACATACATCAACACACCATGATGTCAGGACGACGTCAACGCAACATAACATATTACAAGCGTTACAGCATTGACTACATGAACGCCGCAAGGGACTTTTCAACACACCGATCTGTCGTGAACTAACGTTACAAAATACATCGTCATACAACGATATACACCTCAGTATACATAGCAGATAGAAAATAATAAAGTAATACATATTGTAACATTATTATTATTAGTAGTTGTATCAATGAAATGTCTCGGTATGAATGATTTTGTTCAGGGTGTTTTATAAGCGTCCTGTAGAACGCCTCACTACAGTTCACATATTACAACATCAAGTACCAATCCACAACATATTATTACAACACTGTGGGTTATTACAACTAGAACAGGAAGATAATTCATATAAAAAATTATCTAAAAAATCTGTCGCTGTTCTCCTCCGATTATTCCATCATCATAACACATAATAATATTACGTGCTGTAGGTGAAGGAATCATAGCAAACAAAGTCAGTGTACAAGTGAGGACTAAGGCGCTACAGCCAGCGTTGTGAAGCAATAACTGACGTCAGAACACTGCACCACAAGAAGTAACAATAAATAAAGAACAAACGACAAAATAAATAAATGAATAACACAAGAAAACGATACAAGATAGAGACCAGCACTACAACAATACTGCCCCAGCCTGTAACACAGTGCAGGACAATACAAGCGTCACGAGGACAATACTCACGTGACAAATGACAAGGTGTCAGGGGCGGCGAGCATAGCCACAGCGTCGCGTGCCCAGGGGGACCCGCGCGTGCTAACTACCTCACAACTGACCAATCACAACATCACACCTCGTCTTCCGCCGTTGATTCGTCGCTGATTGGTCAATTAGTCCTGGCGATGGTCGTTAAGGAAGGTTTTTATTGGTTTCGATGGGGTTGTTTTCTGTCCGACCACTAGTTTAGTCTCTGAGGCATATATGTTTAACCTGATTGATTTATGAATATATATATATAATATATATATATATACAGTATATGTACAAATCTTACGTAAATGAAAGTGTTAGTTGAGTGATACGCAGCGAGGTGGGTGAAGGTAGATACTCGCCCCTGCCACCGATGTTCACCATTAAGTTATTACCGTTCTTCCGGGCCGCCGACTCGTGTAATCCAACAATTCGTTCCCGCAACTGTTTTCTGACCAATTTTGATAATTTCTTAAGTCATCACCTCACGGAACAATATTCTCTTCAGCACACATCACAACATTTCATCTCGTGACACTAACGTGACAACAGCAATAGCGTGACACAGGTTCTGTTACCATCATCGTCCATCCACACAACACCTTCTGCAGTATGAGGGCGAGGCGTCGTGTGTGCCCAGGCGTGTGGCGGGACCTTCGTCAGTAGGGCGGCGATGTATGTGGTGCCCGACGCCTCTCCCGCGGGCCCGAGTGCCACTAGCCGAACCCTGCCAAGTGCAGTACCGACACCACCATACGGTGTGGGTGGGAGGGAGGGAGTGTTTGCCGCCCCTCCTTACCAACCTCTTCACCTGCTTCAGCACTCCTCTTCCAGGCTACGATTTTCCAGATATGCGTGGGTGGAGGGGCGTCGGGTGCCTTGGGAAGGCGGGGGCGGCGAGGGTGGGTAGGGCAAGCAGTCTGTGGATCACCCACGCCTTAGCGACCGACTCCCGGACCATAGTAAGTACCTTATCATTTCTCTTGATTCGTCTTTCGGGACTCCAGGGCCGTGAGAGTTGGAAGGTGGCATACCCATGGATGATGTCATTCCCATTTTCTACACTTTGGACTTTCTGAACCACGAAAGACACTCTACATGACGATATATATGTCACGTAATGTGACAGCCTCAGAAAATGTCACTGAGAGCCTTTACTTAAAGAAAATACCCATTAATCTCCAAGTCCGTGAGAAAGTTAGTGGGTGGTTAGTGGATTCCAGAGGTCTCATCTTCACCCCGAGGGGAGGTAGTGCGCGGCGCAGCCCCCAGATGGCAGCAGAGGTCAGGAGGCGGCGTCACGTCTTGCCGACGACTTACTGTGCATACTAATTGAACGCAGTGCTGCCAAAAGAGACGAATTTCATCCATTCTTAGCCGATATTTCCACCGCAATATACAAAACGATCCAGGTTGGTAAATTGAGTGTACTGTACTAGGCGTGTCGTTAAACAAAACCAAAATTTTAGTTGGCATGACAATCTCTTACGATGTGAGTATGATGAAGATCGTCACGAAATATGACAAGAGGTATCATTTATGTGTCGTTCTTGGCAACAGTGATTGAAGGAGCTGGGCTGGGGAGTGAGAAGGGCGCCATCCTTAGGTAGTTCTCACCCACCCAAGGCCTTCTACCACCACAACTGGTGTGAGGGTGGTGGTGGTGTTGGTGATTGTGGTGGTAGTGGTGGTGGTGATAGTAACGGTGGTGGTGGTGATGGTGATTGTGGTAGAGGTGGAAGGAGAAGGCGAGTAATACACAGCAGTGGGTGGGGTACAGTAATGGGCGGGGTACAGTAATGGGCGGGGTACAGCAGTGGGTGGGGTACAGAATAGTACAGCAGTGGGTGGGTACAGCAGTGGGTGGGATACAGTTATGGGCGGGGTACAGCAGTGGGTGTAGTACAGCAGTGGGCGGGTACATCAGTGGGTAGATTACAGCAGTGGGTGGGATACAGTAATGGGCGGGGTACAGCAGTGGGAAGGGCACATCAATGGGTGGGTACAGCAGTGGGTGGGATACAGTTATGGGTACAGCAGTGGGTGTAGTACAGCAGTGGGGTACATCAGTGAGTAGATTACAGCAGTGGATGGGGCACGGTATTGGGCAGGGCACATCAGTGGGTAGATCAGCAGTGGGTGGGTGTACAACAGTTTGATGAACTACAGTGGGTGGGTACAGTAGTACAGGGTACAGTGCAGGGTACAGCAGTGGGTAGATCACAGCACAGTAGTAGGCAGGGTACAGCAGTGGGTAGATCACAGAGGTGGGTGGGATACAGTAGTGGGTGGGGTACAGGAGTGGGCAGAGTACATCAATGGGTGGGCAGTGGGTGGGATACAGTAGTGGGCGGGGTACAGCAGTGAGTGTAGTACAGCAGTGGGTGGAGAAGGGAGGCTGGGACACAACAATGGGTGGAGGAGGAGGATAGAAGACAACAATGGGTGGAGGAGGAAGAGTAGGAGACAATCATGGGTTGGGTGGGTAGGAGACGGCAGTGGGTGAGAGACAACAGTGGGTGGAGGAGGGAGGGTACCAGACAACTGTGGGCGGAGGAGAGAGAGTAAGAGACAACAACGGGTGGAGGAGTGAGGGTGGAAGACAATAGTCGGGGTGGAGGAGGGAGGATGGAGGGGCCAGGTAAATCATGATACGCTCGCAGTAAATGAGTTTTTAATTGTCGTCCAAATCAACATTACTAATTGTGGGTAAATATATGTAAGTTCATAACACATCCACTTTATTTCTCTCTACTAAATCTACCCTTTTCTTCCTCGTTTATTTGCTTCTCTTTTTTCGTTTTGTTTTTCTCTTTTCCTTTGTTTTTGAAGGGAGAGTTGGAGGGGTTATTTTTATTAGTAAATTAACAAAAATCAAACGGATATGTATTACCTACAGTGTTAACTATTTGATCTCTCTCCTTCCTCTTCTTCCCCAACATCATCATCCAATCACAGCAGGAAGTCACAGGAGAAGTATTTACAGGTTAGATTCTCATTTACAGCCATCAGCCAATAAGAGCTTAAGAGGTGTCACGACCCACAGTCTCATTGGCCAAAGAAGACGATGGCAAGAGACCCTCCGTTTTCTAATGACATGACTTTTGTTAGTAAGATCCTTAGAGAACCGAGAAAAATAGTGTTTTCTATTTGTTTTCACGTTAGGGCAATTCTTCTTTCTCATTTGATAGAGATAACGAGAGAAAAGTATTGTTATCTGTTTATTTCTCTTATTCTCTTTGTTTTCTCTCAATTTTCATTTATTTTAGTTTATTATTTTATAGTCGATGTATCTCAGTGTTTAATCAATCTATCATCTTTATGCCTGTTGCCAGAAACATGATGATATATCCTACACGCTCGACCCTTCACCCAACACACACACACACACACACACACACACACCCAACACACACACACACATACACCAAAAACCTATCATTGTTTTAAGTATACTGTACAAGACAGTGTTTTACGAATAAAGACAGTATCCTAAAGTTACTATAATGTATTAATGAATTGACTTAATACCTACTAAACCTATGCATCTATATATATAGTAATGGCATTAGCATGTTATATAGTCATTTCCGACGTTAATTCCATATAAATATTAGTCAGTATCTTCTTATATCAGCAGCTGCCTCCTCCTGATAATATCCTTGATCGTCGGCAACTAATTTAATGACGCTTCAACTTACCTTGTTTCCTCAGCTGTTTTGTGATGTCCAACGCCTTCCATATATCACGGACTATATCCTCATTATCGTGAATGTGTGTGTTTTTTGTTTTTTTGTAAGTCCATCTTCACCCGGAACTGCCAAAAATAAAAAACAAACACTTCGACCTTGATGTCATTTCCTTTAAGCCATCTCTTCCTTCACACTTCACTGGAATGTTTAACAGGAAAATTTTCACCAGTATAAAGCACCAATGATAGATCTCGCTCTGCACCTCCCTGTCTTAACTACCCAGCTGCCACAACAGGTATCGTAATGCTTCATCTGAAAAATATTAAACATCTAGTATCTATATCTATGTATTATTATATGTATCTTAGCTCACCAAAATCATTGCTGTGAGATGCCTTCATTACAAGCATTACTTACATTATGAAAATTCCCAAGAACATTCAGTAGTCATGTGTGTGGACAAGGAGTATATAATCTGCCTACTCTACCATACACCATCGCTGGACCAAAGAACGAACCAAACATTTTCCATTTTAAGATATAATTTATTGTACAATTAGGGTCTTCCTCTCCTAGTTTAAAAAAAAAAAAAAAAGTTTATCAAATTCTCTTACCAGTCAAAAAGATTCTGGGGTCTTCTTCACACAATCGGACACAGTGATCGTCATACACCTCGTCAGCCATACATAAAACACAATACTTTATTGTATATCTCGTGTTGACTCGTACAACTTGTTTCACTGTCGACCACCTGCTCCGTGACGCTCCCTTTCTACCAACACATTCCATTTCACAACCTTTGTTTTCCTCTTTCCTCTGGCTGCAGGCAACATCGTCATCCGTTAGCCAGACATCCATAAACCTCTGATAATGTCCGTTATCTGTGTTAAGGCAATAAAAAAATATGTAAATCATCAATATTATCACACTCATCATTTTTTGTTGCAGTTCTTGTAGAGATCAGTATTGTGGTTCACCCTATAGAGTCCTGAGGTAAGTATACTATTATCTTCACCCGCTGTGCCAAACTGAAAAAAGTACACTGCAATGTTTGATTGTAGCTGGAACGAAACACTATACATGAAAAATGGGTAAGGAACGTAATATTAACTGTATAAGAAGATGGAAGTTTTGATAAAGAGCGTCTGTGGCGGAAGAATATTGCACAATATTCCCCGAAAATTAAATTTGTAAACTATTGAACAGCTGTATGGCGGAACATGCTGAGTACGCCGTTGTCGCCTATGACGTTTGTAGAAAGGCGCCATATTCTAATACTACCTTTATTATTATTATATTATTATTATTATTATTATTACTAGTAGCAGTAGTAGTATAAAAACAAAATTGTCATAATTATCGTTTTCTTAACTACGGTTTATGTTTCTGCTCGAGACGATCATCACCACCAGCAACTCGACGCCTATTCACATACTGTACAACACATCCTCTACCATCACCCACCAACACCCACCCCATCCACCAACACCCACCCCACCAACACCCACCCCATCCCACCAACACCCCATCCGCACTCCTCTCCATCCCATAATTTTCTCTTTCCCACCACACCTCGGTAAGCCCCTTCCCCCCTCCCCATCTCCACCCACCCTCACCCTCCTTATCTCCACCCAGCTTCACCCCTCCCCATCTCCACCCAGCCTCACCCCTCCCCATCTCCACCCAGCCTCATCCCTCCCCATCTCCACCTAGCCTCACCCCTTCCCATCTCCACCCAGCTTCATCCCTCCCCATCTCCACCCAGCCTCACCCCTCCCCATCTCCACCCAGCCTCACCCCTTCCCATCTCCACCCAGCTTCATCCTCCCCCATCTCCACCCACCCACACCCCTCCCCATCTCCATCCAGCCTCACCCCTCCCCACTCCAGCCACCTCCACTTAACTCCGCCCCCCAAATTTATAAGTCATAAACCGTGTTGGAAGAAGCATGAGTGAGGAGCAGTGAGGTGAAGTGACCAGCTTTCACCACCTGCCTCATCCACCTGTCACCCACCCACGCCCACGCCACCCCCACATCCATCCCTACACAAGCTACACCACACATAATACCCATTTGTTACACCTGTATCGACATTTGTACATACGCCCTCCTATCACACACACACGCACCCACACACGCACCCACGCGCGTCACCTATCCATGCCATCCATCTACCACTCATCCACACCATCGACCCCTACCCAAGCCAACCAGTCACTCAGCCATGCCAGTTACCCACCCCATGACCCACG